GACCCGGCCGCGGGGGTGAGCGCGGCCACGTGGTGATTATGATGATCGTGATCTCTGGCGATGCTAAAAGTTTGCTCCCTTGCGGGTGTCCCCCTGCCCTCCCCTGCAGCTGCAAGACGAACGACAAGTTTGCTGCCACACCTGTGAACGAGTCTGCTGCGCAGCCCAACCCTGTAGCCGAGAGGCCTTCAAAAAGTCCTTCCAACTCAATAGGATTGCTAGTTGAACGACAAGTTTGCTGCCACACCTGTGAACGAGTCTGCTGCGCAGCCCAACCCTGTAGCCGAGAGGCCTTCAAAAAGTCCTTCCAACTCAATAGGATTGCTAGTTACAGTATAAATGCGTTATTGTAGCTATAGGCAGACAAGGTTCTTGGGTGAATCTGATCTCTTTTATTAGACCAACTTAAATAATTGGAAAACAATTATTAAGCAAGCTTTCGGGTTCAAAAAGGCTTCATCAGGCTAAGGAAGTTTCGGCAGGCGGTGTGCGCTCTATATGACTCGTCTATCATTGATCGAGTACAAAATTCTGGGTTATTTTTGGTGAAAATAGGGTATCGGGCCTGGGTTCAGGAGCAAATCCCCCATTTATGATATTGTTTCCTGGGGGAAAATCGGTTCCGAGTTACGTTTCGACTTAAGACACGGTTTTCAGGAACCAATTGTGTAGTAAGTCTGAGGACTGCCTGTAGCTTGAGAAGGGTCGCCAAAATGATTTACAGCAGGATAACTTAAAAGTGGGTGCAGCGGTATTGGTACCAGTTTATTCTCCCCCTAGAACAGTGACCCACCAAGATAAGGTACCTTTAAAGTCAATCAGTTACATCTGCCCTTGAGGAAAGGCAGCCCAGTCTGCCATAAAGCAATGACATGAATGACGCGTGCCCCCAGAGGCTGCGGTGTTGGCGGCCGGGCAGGCCGAGTGGGGAGCTCCCACAGGTGGCCATGGCGGTGTCGGAGGCTAGGCAAGCGCTGGCTGGCAGTCGGCAACCACCTGCGGACGCTGCTGGTGGTGCTGGCAGCGAGGGGGGCCGTGGCGAGGAGCGAGTGGCAGTGCTTTTCACAGGGGGTGCACCGCCGATCTGAGGAGGTGCACGTGCACCCGTGTGCACCCCCTACATATCGCCAATGAGCAATGATGTGGGGTAGACTCTTTTGAAAAAAAAAAATTATTTATGGGTGCGCCAATAGAGATTTGGGGAGCCAATACCAATAGCCAATTTTTAAGGAGGCTTATCAGCGGATACCAATCCAATTTCCGATACAGCTGCATGCAGCTGGTAAGTCTGTTGTGGTGGATGAGGAGGGGCAGGGGGCAGATCAAGGTCCCCCATGGTGAGGGAGGGAGTGGGGCTGGGGCAGGTGCTGCCCAGCTAGGGTAGGGCAGGTGTGGGATGGGGGGCATGGGGGCTCTTGTTGTTGTGTGCACCCTGGGAGGGCATGGGGTGTGCGTGTGCCCCACAGATCTGCATGGGGCAGGGCAGGCTGCAGCTGTGGGCTGGGACTGCGCCAGGCTCTTCCCAGTGGGGGCTGCAGTAGGTGGCTGCCACAGTGCTGGGAGGGGCTATGGTGAAAATTGGGGTGGCTGCAGCCCCCCCACATAAGCCCCCTCCCAGCGCTGTCACCCCCACCTCCCCAAGCACAGCCTGGCCCAGCCCCAGGGGGAAGAGCCCAGCACAGAGCCAGTCCACAGCTGCAGCCCACCCTGCCTGCACCCTGCACAGACTTGGGGGCACACTGCCTATGCCCTTCTGGGCACACGCCCACCCCCCCATTGGTGGGGCACAGCTGTGGGAGCCGCCCCACCTCTGTCCTGCACCCCACCCTGCCCCGGCTGGGCAACGTGTGCCGCAGCCCCACTCCCTCCCTCGTTGTGGGGGGCCTTGATCTGGCCCCCCCAGCCCCTTCCCTCCCCTCTCCCCTTCCACCACAACAGAATTACCAGCTGCACACAGCTCTCCATGTTGCTGGGCTGTGCTCCTCGCTGCCTGCATCTGTGCGCATGCACAGGCATTTATCTGCCCAATTATCAGCCACATCAGGCTGATTTCCAATACAGTTCATTTTCTTTTTATTGGTGCCGATCCAATATTGGACTGACGTATCGGTGCACCTCTAATATTTAATTTTTCTGGAGTTGCTTCATCTTATTTTCCCCAAAACTGGGGAGTGACCAAGATTTTGAAGACTGAAAGTGCGTAAGCTGGACTCTCAAATGGCAGCTGGATATAGATGCTCATAGATTCAGAAATTGTAAGGGGCCAGAAGGGACCTTGGAAGATCATCGGGTCCAGTCCCCTGCACCAGAAAGGAAAGACAACTGGGGTCTGGTGACTGGGGTCAGTCTCCTCTTGAAGATCTCCAGAGTAGGTGATTGCGCTACCTGTGGAGGGAGCTTATTCCAGTCTGGACATCCTGACTGTAAAGACGTTTTTCCCTAATGTTGAGTCTGAAATGGCCTTCCAGGAGTTTGTGGCCGTTACTCCTGATTTTCCCCAAGGGTGCCCTGGTGAACAGTTGTTCACGGAGCCTTTGATGTACTCCCCTAATGTAGTGGTAAGCTACCAGGTCCCCTCTGAGCCTTCTCTTTTTCAGGCTTGAGTCCCAGGTCCCTCAGCCTTTCCTCATATGTCTTGCCTTGGAAGTCTCTGATCATATGGATGGCCCTTCTCTGGACTCTCTCAAGCTTTTCTATATCCTTGTTAAAGTGGAGCACCCAGTACTGGACGCAGTACTCCAGCTGCGGTCTCACCAATGCCAAGCAGAGCGATAGAATCACCTCCTTGACTTGGTGTCATCTATGAACTTGGCCCCACATCCAAATCATTGATGAAGATGTTGAAAAGCACTGGACCAAGCACGGACCCCTGGGGAATGTCGCTGGCCACTTCTTGCCAGGACAACACAGGACAGTTCATTAGGACTCTCTGAGGCTTACCCCGCAGCCAGTTCCCTACCCACCTGACCATCTTGGAGTTAAGCCCACAATCCTCCCATTTTCTCATGAAGACATCATGGGATACCAGACCAAAGGCTTTTTGGAAGTCAAGGTATACAATGTCATATGGAAAAGCTTCCCTCAAAAAACTAAATCTTTTGCATTGTGACAGCTTAGTATTGTCTGGGATGAGACACTAGGCCTATTGACACAGTCAGATGGGGGAAAATCAATAAGTTGTAGTTCTCTATAATAAAACCCTAAACCATGGTCCAGTAGAAAAAACAAATCAATAATGCAAACGACACACTTTGGAAGATATTAGGAAACCCTCACTACAGTCAGTCCATTATCTTCCTGCCCACAGCACCATTAAAAAGAAAAAAAAAGTGATCTTTATTAACTACAGAGGAAGCTCATAGAGTAAGAAGAACCACCAATAAATGTGTGGCATTGGTTGCTTTTCCTTTTAAAATATCACTTCATCTCAGGTCAGTTGCAGGTATCTAAAGAAGAGAGAGCAGCAATGGGGTCTGCTGTATGAAAGAACCACTTTTGATCACCTTACTAATAATTGCTAGGCCATCTGTGGTGAACTTAAAAGAGATGCTGACAGAATGCAAATAATATTTTAAGACCAGCTAGCTAAAATTACATTATTTTTAAATGAAATATCCTGATTGTGCATTGCTTCTGATTTTGCAAGTATCCTGATCGACCTCTGACAGATTATTAAAACTGAAATCACATGCAGCACTTAGGGCTTAGCTTTTACCATTTAAGCCCTGGCATTGTTTTCAGCATTTCGCTGAGTTTCAATTGCGCATTTTTTCAAATCGTTTTCCTGTTCCCACATACAGGGCACAGCACTGCCATGCTTTTCTTGCAGACAGCGCAGGAGCTTGTTTGCATCCAGTACTTTCACTGACATCTTTTGTTAAAAGAGACTAAACCACGTTAATCTGAAATCAAGAAGGCAGAGTTGATTTGCACTTTATAGGCTAACCAGATATATATCTAACCAAATACAGACTAATCAACTAGGAAAAGCTTGGGCTAGATAGATAGCTAGGTACACGCACACCTATGAATTGAGCTTCAGCTCTGGAAATTTGTGCTAAACACATACGCTGTCATCTGATGAATATATGTATATGTATGCATACACATGTACGTGTGTTTTTATGTCTCTCTCTCTCTTTGGCCAGTCTGTAAGGTACAAATGCCTTCTACATTTTTAAAAAAGAGCCAAAGACAGTGCTGCAAACACACGGGCTGTAAAACTGGGTTTTCTTTCCCTTGGAAACCCCTAATCATCCTGAGCCTGGTCTAGCTGGACCAGACCTTTAACACAGCGGGTCTCAACCTTGTTTGTACCAGGACCCACATGTAAACATCCACAGCCAGTCCAGACCCAGTACATAATTTAGGTAGAAAACACCTGGGGCATGGGGGGGTGTTTGGGACACAAAGGTGTGTGGGGGGCACAGGGAGGGGCAAGGGTGTGCGGGGGGGGGTATTAGGGAGCGTGGG